CTTAGGCTCCTTCGCTTTTTCATTACCATTTCTTAGAATTTTCATTAGGAAATTTCATTATGCTCCTTCGCTTTTTCATTACTATTTCTTAGAATTTTCATTAGGATATTTCATTAGGCTCCTTCACTTTTTTCATTACCATTTCTTAGAATTTTCATTAGGATATTTCATTAGACACCTTCGCTTTTTCATTGCCATTTCTTAGAATTTTCATTAGGATATTTCATTAGGCTCCTTCGCTTTTTCATTACCATTTCTCATAAGGATATTGCATTAGGTATTTGGCCCTTTCATTACCTTTTCTTAAAATTTTCATTGGGATATTTCATTCAGCTCCTTGACCCTTTCATTACCATTTCATTGAATTTTTTCATTAGAATATTTCATTATGTTCCTTGACCCTTTCATTACCATTTCTTACAGTTCTCAGTAGGATATTTCATTAGGCTCCTTGGCGCTTTCATTAGATTTTCATTGAATTTTCATTGGGATATTTCATTCAGCTCCTTGACTCTTTCATTACCATTTCATGGAATTCTCATTAGAATATTTCATTAGGCTTCTTGGCACTTTCATTAGGATATTTCATTGAGCACCTTGATGATTTCATTACTTCTCATTAGGCTCCCTGGCACTTTCATTACCAAAAATAGATAATAATGATGATATGTATCACATGGGTTGTTGGGAGGGTGATCACATGACCAATTTCCTAAAATGGTCAAAAAACGAAAGTTGTAGCCCTACACTGTAGCTTCCTGAATCTGTTTGAATTCTGTTGTGAAGTGCTCCCATTGTGAAGATATGATGTAAAAGATTCTTCCAAGTGCCGTGTTTTTTTTTTGTTTTTTGCATTTTTCTCCATGAAAACAAAACCAAATAACATGATTCCAACACATTTAGAAAGCTAAATGAAAGGGCAACAAATATTGTATTGTGGGAAAAATGACCAAAAAAGGAAGGTGCATTCCCTGAAAGAGCAATTGACACTGACAGACTACAAGAGTCAGATATAGACTACCAGGTTTGCTGATAGACTACAAAAAGTTGGACATAGGCTACAAAAGTCAGACATAGACTACAAAATTTACTGATAGACTACAAAAGCTTGGACTTAGACTACAAAGTTGGGGTTAGGTTAAAAGGTTATCCACCTGAAAACTTTTGTAGTCTGCGCTTTTCCATTAGAAAATTTTGTAGTGTCCGCTTTTTTAGACTACAAAAGTTTGTAGTGTGTGCCTGTTTAATAGAAAAGTTTATAGTGTCTGCTTTTTAGACCACAAAGTTTGTAGTGTCCACTTTTGTATTAGAAAAGTTTGTAGTGTCCGCTTTTTAGACTGCAAAAGTTTGTACTGTCCACTTTTTGAGGCTACAAAAATTTGTAGTTGACATATAGTTTATAGTGTCCTTGACTCTGTATAGGTTATGGGGATGAGGTTAAAGAATTGACATAATTTTACATATTGCCATTGCTGCAGCATTGATTTTTGACATCATGTGCAAGTTGTCTTTCATGTCAAGGAAGGCAATTCTATGCCTTCCTATTGATAGCTACTGTCCTATTTCAAAATCATAGTTCTAGGTCCATGTGGATATGGTTTGAAGATTTAAATAACTTTACCTTTTGCTATGGCCACATCATTAACTTTTGACATCATACCCAAGTTGCTTTTCACATCAGGACAGACTACTCTCTGATTTCACATTGATAGTTGCTGATCTGTCTGCTTTCACATTGATAGCTACTAGCAGTACTTTATTGTGCCCTACCTATTCCTGTCGGACTCCGGTCATTCCTGCGGATTCCGGTGGAATGGGACCGGACTCCGGCGGAATCCGCAGGAATGGGACTGGAATCCAGTGGAATCCAGCGGAGTCCTGTGGAATCCAGTGGATTCCAGTGGATTCCAGTTGAATAAGACCACAATCCACCATAAATAGCAGTACTTTACCCTCCCCCACATGCTCTGATCAGAGTATCTACAATCAGAATGGATCAGCACTGATCTAGAGG